AAAGATAATTTATTTTGAGACTACGTGAAAAACTTTGATTTTGTGGGATTAACAGAAACATGGATACTAGAGTGAGACTGGAACAAACTGAAAGACGTGTTGCCAAAGGAATTTCAGTGGAAATTGCAAGGGGCAAAAAAAGAAAAACGCAAGAGTAGAGCAAAAAGGGGGAATCATAACAGGAGTGAAGAAAGATATAAAAGAAATAGAAGAGGGGGCGATAGAAATGGAAGGCATGGTTGAAAGAAAACTGACTGCAAAAAAAAATGGAGAATCTGCACAATATATAGTAGAGGAATGAGAAACACGAAACAAGAAATACAAGAAAAAATCGAGAATTTCTACTGTTAGGAGGGGACTTTAATGCCAGAATAGGGAACAAAAGCAGGGAAGAAGACGGAGAAAACACACGAAAATCGAAAGATACAGTAGAAAACAAAGACGGAAAATTGCTATGGGAATTAATTGAAGAAAGAGGTTGGGAAGTCTTGAATGTGGTGAAGAAAGGGGACGAGGAGGGGGAATTTACCTGGATAGGTAAAAGAGGGGAATCGGTAATAGACTACGTAATAGTAAACGGATTAGCAGAAGAAGAGGTAGAAACATTCAAAATAGGAGAAAGAGTGGACTCCGATCACATGCCACTAGAAGTAAAAGTGAAGGGCATAAGTAGAGGGAGAAGATGCTTAAGTACTGAAGTAGGAAAAGAAAAGAAGATATGGGTATGGAATGAAAATGGAATTGAGCATTATAAAAAAAATGTTGGAAGTGGAATTTAAAGAAAAAGGAAATGAAAAGAAAATGGAAGAATTAAAAAGAGAAATTGAAAAAGCAGTCATAAGAAAAGAAATTGTAACGAGAAATTTAGAAAAGACAAACAGATGGTGGGATAGCAGATGCGGAGATTTAAAAACAGAAGCAAGGAAATGTTTACGAAGGTGGAAAAAGGGGAAAGGTATAAAAGAAGGGTACTTGCAAGCAAAAAATAATTATAGAAAACGATGCAAAGAAAAGAAAGAAGAGATACAGCAAGAAGAAGAAGAAAAAATTAAAGCCATAAGAACTGAGCAAGAGGCATGGCAGTATATAAATAAAGAATGGAAGAACAAAATCACGATTAATGAAGACATACCTATAATACAGTGGAAGAAGCATTTTATGGAACTGTTGAATGGAAAGGAAGAGAGAATTGTAGTGCAAGATAATAAAACCGGGATTGGTGGTTGTTAGAGCCTCTGGCGGGGACCTGTTTCACCCCTCCCCACCCGTAAGGGTGGGAGCCAGAGCCACCCCCACCTTGGAACACAGGGTAGCATTCATTCTTAATTCTTAACTCATTCATACACATTCAATTCTCAATTCTTAATTCGTAACTAACATTCAACTATCTCGACCGCACGGTCATATACTATTCTATTCTTATTATTCTTATTTATCAAAACACTTGTCACTAGCAATACATTTATCTTACTTGTTCGCTGGTCTTTATTCATTTATACAAACTTCGACATGGTCCTTCGAGCCGGATTAGCGACAGAATAACAGTGGTAGTGATAAGTGTAATTCTCAACATATCATTCATCGGCTGGAATTCAGCAAAGTAGTTATCAAAACATCACCTAGAAATCATCCGCGCAGTGTTCAACTATCGGTGACGACCACGAGTGCTGTGCAAAATCCTCAAGTATCATTCAGCGTCAGCCAAGATAATTCTATCCAGGAATCCAGGATTCCAGGTAAGCTTTAATTCTGTTTGGTTGGTGTAATACATTTATTCTCGTACTCAAGATGGTGGTAATCCAAGACAATACTTTTGTTAAATTTTCAATTCTTCTCAGCGAAATAGATTCACATTCTAATTTTATATCAAATGTTGCAAATCATCAAAAAAGAGGCCACTTAAAGCGTCGATATGAAGACGTACAGCGAATTTATTCAGAATTACAAATGCTTGTAGTTCAGCAAAAATCCGAAACAATGGTAGTCCCGAATGACACGAGTAACACGGAAACGATCAAACCTATAATTTATAATATCAGAGACGTGCTAAATTATATTCAAAAAATATCAGAATTATATAATGTTCTCATTGAAAAAACTAATCCATTGTGTACTTTCTCGAATTCATGTAAGATGAACACTAACGTACCAACCACGGATCTGGAAAAAACTTGTCAAAATTTAAAGCCTTTAAAGGTACACAAATTAAGAAATGGAGAACCCATCAAAATTCACAAAACCCATTTCAATGCTCTACGTAAATTGCCGTTCACTATTGGTAAAAAATCCCCTCTTAATTCCGTTATTTCAAGAACTCCTAGTATAATATCAAATCGTTCAAAATTTCCAAATTCAACACTCAATGAAGAGAAAAATCATCTTTTTAATGATTGTTACAACTCCGAAGGCGTATGTCAAATTAATTTAGATAAAACTTCTAATGCAGAGTCATCTACCGCACTAGACAAAGTAAAAAGTCCTCCAGTTAATTCGAAAAACTGTAACTCATTGTTAGTATGTAACCAATTTAAATGTAGATCGCAATCTTTATGTATAGTGAACCAAAACCTATAAGGTTATATGGCCATCATAAAAGTAGTTGACCGCAAATAAATACCCCCTTTGTGTGGTTCGCACTAAGCTTACCGGTTGGCAATAAATCATCTTCTAAACATTTCTTGCTCATATTTAACAGGGCCGGCTTTCAAAGCGAGTGGTTATTTCGGAACTTTCAGCGGCTGCAGGTAGTAAAGAAATAGTGGAGTGGTGGATTTTCATATTTAGTGAAAGCCGCCCCTGAACGAAACCACAAGAGCCGGTCGAGCTGCAGTGGACACGTTATTTACGACCTTAAAACCTTTTCTATTGTAAACAACTTAACTTCGACACAATGGGATGATTTTATGATGGCCATATAACCTTATAACTCTTGGTTCACTATAAATCCGTAGACTCGAATATTAAAGACAATACGTCAAACGTAGCAATACTCGACAAGAAAAAACATTCCGAAAATGCCATACCCAAAATAATAAGTCATTTTAGTAAAAACCCACCGGTGCTTCAAAATACCGCGCTGGGGTTGATTCTTAGCGGCAGTTTTGCATATTTAAAAAATAATACTTCCCATCATCACAAAATTAGTTCAGCCCAAATTATTTCTCGGTTCTTGGAAGCTGAAACCGTCAAAACCGGAAGCAGGTCATTAAGCAAAGGGTTTAAAAGCGATCTTTGTGCAACCCCTTTTCAATATACTACCACAGGCCATTCACCCGATGGCTATTTCATGGTCAAACACCCCTTTTCGGAAAATCAGCCGCGGTTAGAGAATTTTGCACAAATGCACCCAAAGTGGCTATTATCAATCGAGAGGAAGTTGGGGCGTTCCACAGTCCCTTATTTCGAAAATCTACCTAAATTAGGAAATTCCCCAGAACTCGCGCTCCAACTGCTATTGTTAGCAGAGGGGCGTAATCATAAACGTAACGAGGGTTTTATTGTCTCTCAAAGGAAGTACCTAGACCTTGTACACCTGAACGTACTTAACGAAAATTCGTTAAATAATTTCATTTACCTGCAACACAATTGTGTTTTAAATCTTCACATTTCTGCCACTAAACTCTGCGTAGTTGTTGGCCGTTTAAATCTTAGTTCAAAGAGTTTATACATGAATAGCCGGAAGTATCACGAAATTACTGATAAAAACCATCTTGAGGGCGAGGGCGTGTATGCGCTCATTGTCAGAGTTAAAGCCGTCCTGAATTCGCGCCTTTCGAAGCCTGTGTCCAGCGACCGCAATAATTTGGTCGCATTTATACCTGGCCAATGCCTCTTTCGGCCAGCCATCAACTGGTCCCTCAGGAAAAGACCACGCCATCGTTCCCATCAACAGGCCATCCCTTGGCACCTCATCCACGCTTACCATCAACACTTCTGGAAGTCGTGGTACCTCGAATATTTGACCACACTGAAAGGCAGGTTAGGGTGGCAAAGACCATCTTCCAACGTTCCAGGAATGGCAAGATGGGTCCTCGTGAAGGAGGAGAAATTTCCGCGTCTACAGTGGCGGTTAGGTCGCGGCACTCCAACATCATTTTGGAAAGGAAGTGGTGGTGTGTGTAGTGTCGGTGAAGTGCAAAAGATAATTTCGCAATCGCATGCATTATCATTCTATTTAACCATATTGCATACATCTTGTCAATTTGTAATATACATCTCATTGTTGATTTATTTTACTATGTTCTATGTATTCATATTTGTACCATTGTTATATTCATTCGCCATATTATTCACTCGTCGTATTATTCATTGATTTGGTACATTATAATTGTTGTAAATTTGCTTTTAGGTCTATTGTAAATATTGAGTATTCACTGATATTGTACACATGTAATTTGTTTTAGATATCTTTTTTTAAAGTTTAATGCATTTCTTCAGGTTCATTGCTTTCTGTAACAATGTCCACCCAATTCATGTAATTTCATCTGTATTTAACATTACTAAATCATGTTTTCATTCTAATGTTCTATATAGTTTATTTTTGGTCTTAAAACAATGTAATTGTTTCAAGGCGGGGGGTTATGTTAGAGCCTCTGGCGGGGACCTGTTTCACCCCTCCCCACCCGTAAGGGTGGGAGCCAGAGCCACCCCCACCTTGGAACACAGGGTAGCATTCATTCTTAATTCTTAACTCATTCATACACATTCAATTCTCAATTCTCAATTCGTAACTAACATTCAACTATCTCGACCGCACGGTCATATACTATTCTAATCTTATTATTCTTATTTATCATAACACTTGTCACTATCAATATACAATATATTTATCTTACTGTTCGCTGGTCTTTATTCATTTATACAAACTTCGACAGTGGTAGAGAAAGGGAGGCTGAGATTCGAGTAGAGGAAGTAGGAAAACAAGTAGGAAGACTGAAAAGAGAAAAGCACCGGGGAAGGATGGGTTGGTAAACGAAGTGTGGATATTTGGGACGGATGGGATGATTGAAAGATTGAGCGAGTTAATGAATGATGTGTGGACGGGTAAAGGTTTTCCCAGGGAATGGAGAGTAGGGCAAATATGCCCCATTCATAAAAAGGGTAATAAAGAAAAAGTAGAGAATTATCGGGGAATAACTCTCCTAAATACGGCATATAAACTGTACGCAATGGTGTTAAATGAAAGGTTGGTGACAGAGATGAACGAAAAGAGTATATTACCGGAAAGTCAAGCGGGATTTAGAAGAGGTAGAGGGGTTATGGACAATGTATATATACTGCATCATCTAATAGAAAAAGAGTTGCTAAAGGAAGGAGGTCGGGTATATGCACTGTTTGTTGACCTAAGAGTCGCGTTTGATACGGTGGACAGAGAGTGTTTGTGGGAATGCATGGAGAGAAGAAGACTGAGTGAAAAGTTAATTGCAGCAGCAAGAGAGATCTATAGAAAGACAGTGACTAGTGTGAGAGTGGGAGGAATAGAAAGTGAAATGTTTTGGACGACGAAAGGATTGAGACAGGGATGCCCATTAAGTCCCAGTCTGTTTGTTTGTTACATAAGCAATATCGAGGAAATGTTTAGAGGAGTACAAGCGGGAGGAATTGTGGTGGGGAGAGAAAAGGTTTGGTGTTTGGCATTTGCAGATGATTTGGTAATATTGGCGAAGGATGAATGTGGAATGAATGAGATGAAAAAAAAAATCTGCAAAGATACTTTAAAAGAAAGAAACTGGAGGTAAATGTAGAAAAAACAAAAATGATGGTGTTTAGAAAAAAAGGAAGAAAAGGGGAGGAAAAAGTGTGGCGTTGGGAAGATCGAATCATAGACACAGTAAAGGAGTTTAAATATTTAGGTTTTAAGTTTACAACAACTAACACGGTAAAAGCACACATAAGAGAAAGAAGGGTCAAAGCAATATAGATAATGGGAATGGTGTGGAGTATAGGTGAGAGAATATTTGGACATGACGTAAGAAGAAGGACGAAAATGTTTGATAGTTTAGTTAAGAGTGTGTTAATGTATGGAGTGGAGATATGGGGATGGAAAGAATATGCAGAGATGGAAGCAGTACAAGAAAAATATTTGAGGTGGATGTTAGGGCTACGGAAAGAGACGCCAGGCTATATAGTAAGAGAAGAATGTAAACGAGAAAAATTAAGAGTATACACTGGGAAAAGAGCTCTAAAGTATGATGGAAGGTTGAAAGAAAGAGAGGAATGTAGGATATTGTATGAATGCTGGAAGGAAAAAAAAAGGAAGCAGGGAAAGAACATCACAAGGGTAGACAAGGATATTATGAAAGACTATGATACGCATGGATGGAAATAGAGAGAAAGAGAGAAATGGGGGTGAGTATGAGAGAAGAGTTGTGTATGCGTGACAGAGACATAGATAAACAAGAGAAAAGAGCTAGTGTAATTAATTCTGGGTACAATGCAGACTATAGAAAGATAATAACAGAAACAATACCAAAGTACCTAGACAGAGAAAGCGCGAAAGAAAAAAAAATAATTGCGAGATTTAGGTGTGGAAATGAAGAAAGAAATAATAAGTTTTGGGTAAGCGAAGGTGAGAGAATGTGTAGGATGTGTGGAGAACGGCGAGAGACGATAGAGCACATGCTGCATGACTGTGAGGAGAGCAAAGAAAGAGAGGAGAGTGTGACAGAGATATTGAATGAAGACGGTAGAGGGGTGGAATGGATGAAAGAAGTGGACAGGACAAAAGTAGGGCTGGAGTAAGGGGGGATGGGGTAAAGGAAAAAAAGTGAGTTATTTGATTTATAAAATGTATTTATTTGGTTTTTGTTAATTAGGAAAAAAATTTTAGTGTCAAGAATCTTCTAAGGGTAAAAAATAAACACTTACATTACATTAAAATTAATGAGTCTCCTAACTTAAAAATTCAATTTACAAAAAACTTCTTTTATTGACTTTCGTTTTGTAGTACCCGTACGTTTCAATAATTGCGAATTTGAAATTTATAGATTAATGCATAGCAACATATTTGTAAGATATAAGAAATCACCTACGAAAAGTTACTAAAAAATGTCACATTCTAAGTGCTTTTGACTAATTTCCACGACTATATGGACATACGTTTTCTAACACACCGCAAACTGTGACTTTGAATTTGACATTTTTGGTACGACAAGAATGGTTTTTGTCATTTTGTAGACGCTATAATTTTACAAACTTAAATTAATTATCTTTTTTACACTCACTATTTATTTACCAGTGGTGTGGAAGAGAAGAAGATAGAGGTCAATTTTCCTTTCTATAATTTTGACCATAAAACCAAGGTTTGCTACAGTTCTTAGAGTTCACACTCTCAATTTTTTTTTGTACGTGGATTTCAGTAACACCCTGTATATATATTTTCTAAATATTAGATTGGAATTTATCGTTTTGTTTAATGTTGACATGACACTACTTCCTTTTGTAATTATTTTCTCTGTCTCCTTGTCTTCATTAGCTTCATTTGTGATCGTCACACCCAGATATCTCAGTTGGTCAACTTTCTCGAAGCTGCTTATAGTGTCTATTGTCGTTACTTTTAAATTTTATTTTCCCTCCCGTCATTTTCTGTTTTATTTGAAAATATATCTTGTTTTCATTAAAATAAAGTGCGAACTGTTTTGCCGTTGATTAGATTTTCCTAAACGTTTTCTCCAGTTCTGTTTGTGATATTTTAAATAATGCTACGTCATCTGCAGAGGCATTAACTTGTTGTGCCCTATAGTATATTATTCCAACAACGTTTCTTGTGGCTTTTAGGGTTAAAAAAATTGCTTGAATCGGATATGTTGATTTTGGTTGATTTTAAAATGTTGAACTTCTGTAAAAACAAATGTTAAATTTCACTCAAAGATGTCCATAATAAATTAGAAACATTGTATGCGGCGAAAATCGGGAGTTGAGTTGAGCTAACCTTACTTTAATAAAATCGCTAGTCAGGCAGGCCACTTACGAAGACACCGCACTTAGTTGCAGCAGTAAAATAAAAACAGCGTTAGAGATTTTTGCGTATTTTTTGCACCTGTACAGAACTTAGAATTATCATTTTTGCTTTTTGTCTAATGTCTTAAAAGGTTTCAGATGAGAGGAAGGATTAATGTACACTTTTAACAACAGCGTTCAACTCAGATAAACATGCCGTTCACCTGAATTCCTGTTCCACAATACCGAGCAATCGATTGTTTTTCTAACAGTGTAGCGATTGTTTGGAGTTAAAAGAGTACCCTCTCATCTGGCGAAACAAACGTAGCGAATTGCTTTAATCCATTGAAATGTTTGTTATTGTTGGAGCCGCTTGATTTCATCAGATGATCAAAGTAGGTAGCCTAAAATACGTAGTCACTTCAGATGCCGATGGTGCTTGAGAACTCTTGTATATTCCCCGACTACTTTGCTGTATCATCGTGAAGCAGAAATTTTATTGTGAGGTTTTATGTCAACAATTAATTTTACTCTGATGACTGTCAACTATGAAAATCATGCAAATTAAAAATGTCTACCTTTTTATCTGTGATAATAATAAAATATACTGTAGAATTATATTGTATTGTCATTAACTTATACAATACGATAAATATAAAGAACTGACTCATCTTTGAACCTTCACCTTTTTACTTTTACTTCTTTGTTAAATCGCAAAAATAAAGCTTTGTTTTGTTGTGTAAGGTCTATTACTAGAAAATAATGCGTTGCTAAAGGTGTTTTTCTTATACGAGTATAGATTGTTCCACTTTAACTGTAGGAGAAAGAAAACTTGATTTACTCTATTGACTTAAACGTGCTTCCATAACGTAGAAAGGTATCCCCATTGTATCATGTTTTTTAACCCATTCATTTCGATTCTCCGCCAATGTCTATGATTCGAATGCATTATGTTACAGAAATACACTGGTTTATATTTGGTTTAGGGTGCACTGGTCCTTAGGAAACGGACATCGATGGCTTATGAGCTGAGAAGGTGATGAGGCTAGGAGGCTCCAATATTTAAACATCGAAAAATTATATTGTCATGTCAAAGTTTTCAGGAGTTCACATTTTAGAAAGATTAAAGATGTCAAAAATGTGTAATTTTTCTATATCAGAAAATCTAATTTGTATTTGATTAATTATACCAAGAATTTCGGAAAAAAATTGGTTTAATTTCTGTTGTTCATCATTCATTTCATATTCTTTACAACTTTTCAACATTAAAATATCACTACTAAATGTTCCATAAATTTTATTAAAAAATGGTCACTGCGCCTAAATTCGCGTCATTTACCTAAGTTGTTTCTAACAAGTTTCTAGCTCTGAGAATATCTGTGAACGAACTTACATAAAATGCAGCGTTAGTCTGTTGAAAAATTAGTGCGAAACTTAAGCAGACAAAAATTCCAGTTTGGGATAAACTACTCATATTCCTGATTACCCAAATCAAATTATGACTTAACACACGCACATGAAACATTTTGACGAGACGTCATCACATTGTTGGTGGGGATGATTTAAACAAAAATGTTTTTTAATAAGCAACCCCCTTATTTTTATTTTATAAGTCAATATAAAAAAAGTCAAAAGATTTTTATACATACTAGACTTTAGGCTGTAATTAATTTATTCTTTTTCCGGCGGTACCAACTAAAATGCAAATATTTTAATGTTTTGTACAATTCTGCAACATATGTACAAATTTCGCAAGATTTAGAAAATTTTTACAATTCCAAGTATATAAAAATTAGTTTAAAATGCAGGTAAATAATGCAGAAAATGTAAATAAAAACTTTAGATGGTGTTTTTCACTGTGTTAAACAAGATGTGGGTTATTATAATACCATTAAGTATAATTTCTAGAAGCAGCTGTTAATATTTTCGCCTTTTCATAAATTTGTTGATATAATAATTTCAAAGGATCCAATGATAAGAGTTCAATTAATCTCCTCAAAATATTCATGAATAAACTTACCTATTAACTCTCATTAAAAATACAACTAGTACTTACTGCCTTGGGCCTTCTTACCAAAAATTTTCTTTTGCTATTTCGATGCTTTCCTCAACAAACAATGTGAACTATCTTTAATACCAAACAGTACAATGTTTGTATAAAAATAATTCCTAAGATCAGGAAGTTCTAAGTTTCAACTTATTTAGTAATTCTTAGAATATACTTACGTTAAATTGGAATGATTAGAGTCTGATCTGCTTCCTTCGGAAGTCAACGTAACAATTAGAGTGCGTTTACGTGAAAAGGAACTTATCCATTACAATGATTGATGGATGAAATGTCCATTTTCTATCTCTAACAAGTGTTAACATTTTTATCTTTTTGTCTTTCAGAGATATAAAGCGGGTATGTTTTTTTAGTGCACTAACTATGTAGCTGAAATAACAGCATAATTATTTCTGATGAATCAAAAACAATAACTTCTGAAAGCCGATCCTGTTCGAGCCGAAGCCGAGGTGTGAGCGCCTATAAAAATGCACATAAAGTACCGAGCTGCGGTGAGGAGGTTTACCGCTAGAGCGCCAATTAAATAACTTAATTAAGCGGCTTAATCAACTTGTCATACGGGAATCAATCTGTACTCGTCCCGACGAGATAAAGAGCTTGACAAAACGCCACACATTCCTCCGAGCCAGGAACATCAGCTCGCGTTTTGTTCACTTCGACATTATCCCAGCAATCCGAGCGTGAGGATACGGAATTAGTCCTCGACGGATATTTCCGCGTGCTTTTTTCCTTTTCAGCTAAATAAACGCGTAGGCGGCACAAGAAAGACGCCCCTTTGAGAGACTCAATGTTTGGGCAAGTCTGATTCCCCGCTTTGATTTCGTTTGATTTCCTTGTTCCATATTTCTAATTATATTTTTCTTTTAAGAGTCTTCGGTCCTATTATCACCCTCCTGTGCCGCCGTAATTTCTTTTTTTATTCGAGTCTGCTCCGCTCGGAAATAAA